AATACATATAAATATTTTTTATCAGTATTTCACGTGACAAACTGTCAAAAAAATTTACAAAAATGTATCCTTTTATGTATATGCGTGTGTGTGTGTGTGTGTGTATATATATACAGTGGGGAAAAAAAGTATTTAGTCAGCCACCAATTGTGCAAGTTCTCCCACTTAAAAAGATGAGAGAGGCCTGTAATTTTCATCATAGGTATACCTCAACTATGAGAGACAAAATGAGAAAAAAAATCCAGAAAATCACATTGTAGGATTTTTAAAGAATTTATTTGCAAATTAAGGTGGAAAATAAGTATTTGGTCAATAACAAAATTTCATCTCAATACTTTGTTATAATATACCCTTTGTTGGCAATGACAGAGGTCAAACATTTTCTGTAAGTCTTCACAAGGTTTTCACACACGGTTGCTGGTATTTTGGCCCATTCCTCAAGAGCAGTAATGTTTTGGGGCTGTCGCTGGGCAACACAGATTTTCAACTCCCTCCAAAGATTTTCTATGGGGTTGAGATCTGGAGACTGGCTAGGCCACTCCAGGACCTTGAAATGCTTCTTACGAAGCCACTCCTTCGTTGCCCGGGCGGTGTGTTTGGGATCATTGTCATGCTGAAAGACCCAGCCACATTTCATCTTCAATGCCCTTGCTGATGGAAGGAGGTTTTCACTCAAAATATATATATATACATATATATACCATAAAAAAAATTCTAAGCCATATTGGAGTAATAAATAAAAGTAACCATTTTTCTTTTCAGTTTATATTTATAAATGTGCAGTATGGACCGTATTTAGTCAAAATCTGTGTTGTTAACTAAAACTAACTATTAGAAACAAATGTCTTAATTGAAGCTTCAAAAACTGATGATTTACTTGGTGTAAAATGGCCTTCAGAGTCATTAAATTAGAGCCTTGTAAATTATTACATGCATGCAAGTGTGCAAAATAAATAAATAATACACAATAAACAATAAAAAGCCACAGGCAGTTTCAGTAATTTGCTTGCAACATCATCTAACCGGATGCAAAATTGTTAGTTCTGTCAAAGTTCTGATTTGTTGTGATAGACGCATAAAAAGCTTGCACAGTACCTGTACTGGTATTGAAGGAAACTGCTGGAGTTTGACGGCCACGAGACAGACCATAAAACACTATGTCATAGACCGCAGAGTCCATAAGACCCGTGACGGTAACATTCCTCTCTGCGCCTGACAGCCTGAGCTCTACAACATCATACAGCTGCTCACGGTCAGTGACACGAGCAGCAAAGCCATCGAAGTGGCCTGACAGTGTGCTCCAGGACAGCGTCAAGCTATTCGGCCGTGTTTCAGACACCGCGATGGCGCCCAATTTAGGCTTAGGCTCTGGATGAATGAAAGAAAGGACTGAGTATTGTTATGAAACTTAATGGCAGCTGAAACAAGTGAAAACTGAAGGTTTAATACAGGAATATTCTGGGTTATTTGCTTTAACGTCTATGAAAAGCATCTGTGGTTTGCAGTCAATTGCATCAGAAAATAATTTCAACTCAGGACTCAGGTTTGTAACAAAAAAAATAATTTACAGTAATACTTTAAAATTAAATAAATTATACATTTAATTATATAATTATATGTTTATTTCTAATATATATATATATATATATATATATATATATATATATATATATATACACAGACAGACACACACACACACACACAATCGACAAAGTAGTCCGTGTGACATCAGTGGTTCAACTGTTAAGTTACGAAGCTACGAGAATACTTTTTTGCGCAAAGAAAACAAAAATAACGACTTTATTCCACATTTTCGTCACTACAGCGTCACTTTGGTCACGCGTTCACGACGCGAGTGTGTGGCGGCATCAATGGAAAGATCTGGGTCAGCGCCACCACACGCTCACGTCATGATACTGTCGTGAACGCGCATCCACAAGTGGCACGCAGTAGCTAGGCCTTTCTATGAGTAATAGACTTAATTTAGTCACTTATGTGCTTGCATACAGTATTTAAAGTTAAGTCTGATGCAACTCATCTTGAGGCACCAGATTTCAATATGCATAGCAGAGGGTTTTCAGTGATATACATCTTCAATTTAGCATGTTCCTCACACAAAGCTACCATATGACTTCAGAAGACTTATAGTGCTTGAGTTTCATTGACCCATTTTAGAGAGAGATTAAATGTGATCTTTTTGGTTGAGCTACCCCTTTAAGGCCTGATTTATCATTTCCAATATAAACAGATGGGGGGAAACAGCAAGGAAACGAGAGAATTGCAGTTACCTGTGCACGCGACAGCACTGATGGAGTCTGTTCTCCTTCCCTTCACGACTCCAGTGAGGTAAGCTATATAGTCAGTAGTCGGCCGTAGCCCAGTGATTTCATATGACTGTGTGCTTTGTGACAGATTATATTCGACTGGCTCCCGCTGCCAGCTAGAGTCTATAATCTCCAGGATAAACCTCTCAATATCTCCTCTCGTGTCATTCCATGAAATGGAGAAGCTCTCTGATGTAATATTAGAAACATACAGATTGCCAACCACTGGAGCGCTATCTAAAGGGAGAAATTATTATTTGAATAGCGCAGTTGAACTTACTGTACAATATGCATGTAAAATTTGTTTAACTGAGAAACTTCTGACAGATTAATTATAGGAAGTATTTGCCTTACTATGAAAACAAAAAAGCAGAACGAATGTTAAAAAGGATAGGAAAACACAAGAATGTATTGTAGTTATGAATAAATCTGAGGCTATTTTGTTGTTTTTGTTCACTGTAGTGTCAAAACAGGTTAACACGAATATTGTGTTAGTGCATATGAAGCAATCCACACAAAAGATGCATCAAGATTGGTTTCTATTCCAAATTATTCCCATGCAAATCTTACATTATTCCCATTCAAACAGTAACATACAGTAATGTTCTTTGCTCGGTGCAGTAAAAGTTAATGCTTGGTGATGCCCAGAAAGCAGTATGTCTGAATATTTAATAATTTTTTAAAAATTATTCAATTTAATTATTCAATTTAATTGTTAGTTATTATTTGATCTATTATTTAAAATATTATTATATTTAATCAAATATTACTATAATATATTTGAATTTTTTTTATATTATTCGCTAAATCATATCGTTACTTTTATTACATCAAAGCATTGAAAATTAAAAAGATTTATAGTGTTATAATGTTAAAGAATAGCTATCAACAGATATTTAAAAAGCCAATTAATACGGGTTTTTTTTACATTTTCAAATTACTTCTTTAAAAAAAAATGTTTATAAAAATTTAAAAAAAAAAAGTCAATAATAGCTAAACAATTTTTACTTTAAAACAATATCTTAATTTTTATTTGTTTATTTCTTTAAAAAAATGTACAATTAAAATAAATCATTTTAAAATAAAAAAATCTAATAAAAACATTTAAAATATTCCAAACTAATTATTTTAAATAAAAATTTATTTTAATTGAAAATACTTTATTTTTAATGGTTTACCTGCATATCATGTGATGATTAACCAGCATCAGAGAACCATGAACAAGCAAATGTGTTGCTAAATTGTTGAAATATTAATTTTTAGAACATATATTAGGTCAAAGGTTTGACTGACAAAAAATATTTTGGAACCGCTGACATAGAAGGTCCTCAAAATCAACAAAAATAAAAAATGGAACTTACTTATTCAACGCACATTGCATCTATATCAATTCAAAAAGTGTGTGAAATGATGCAAGTAGGTGATGAGATCACAATAAAGTGAATGAAATTATATGTAAGAGGATGAAATATGTTGCAATCACTGCAGCTCATCAAAACTCACCACAATGCGGTAAATGTGTGAGATGGGTGGTGCCATGCATGTGGGCAGCTGAATGAAATGGATGATAGTATAATAGTCGACAGTGATTACTGTTGAACACAAAGCTTTGATTTCAGTGGAAGGAAATGAATGGAAACACGGCATTTTCTGTGCCCCAACGCAATCAACTTTGAGGCAAGACCCACACAGTGGCTGGAACAGTAGAGGTGACAATCAGTTAGCTTTGTTAAAAGAAGTCATTTCACAATCAACAAATTATGATGGACACCATTAAGTGTTTGCTCATCATTCTCAACGGCCCCATGCAACAAAGACGTTTAGGTTTCGTGAAAAATTAAAAGGAAATGTTAAAGCACAGAAGCACCTGCTTGACACCACAGCTCCCAACTAGAAATAAAAATGTCAGAAAGAGAGAAGAGACAAAGAAAAAAAGGCATAACAGATAAAAGATGTCCCATTCCTTGTGAAAAAGAAGTGTGCTTAATTGCACTGAATGTGCACTCGCAATATGTTTCAAAACTTGAAAGCATATAAAAAAAAAACACTGTACTGTACTTGAAGTATTAAATTAATGAAATATTCATATATTTATAATAATAAATTAAAATGCCTCTGAAGTGTAATTTTGTCAAATTAAAAGCATACATGTATAGTATATAATACATTATACAATATATAATACATTTGAATTTATATATATATATATATATATATATATATATATATGTGTGTGTGTGTGTGTGTGTGTGTGTGTGTGTGTGTGTGTGAAGTATTATATTAATGAAATATATATAGAATATAAGTGTAATTTAGAATGTATATTTAATATGTAAAACAGTCCAAAATATATTGTTAATATTGAAGTATGTATTACATTAATGAAATACAGTATATATTCTGAAATGTTAATATGTCACATGAAATATTAATAATAAAGGGACACTTCAGTGTGTCAAATGAACAGTGTTGTTAAAAAAACACTCTTAAGTTCAACTAATTGAATTTAATAAAATGTTTAACTATAATATATTTCATTTAATTGTAAATGCAATTAGGGCTGCGAAAACATTACATTAAATCTTAAGTATATTATTTCCGTAATAAGTACTGTTTTTAAAAGTCTACTAAAGTGCACTTCTTTTTCAGCAGAGAAATCCAGGTAAGCATAGGTACCTGTAGCTGCTTGAGTGTAGATCGACCCCAGGATCGAGCCCTGATGCACTCCGTATAATGTAATTATATAGGACGTGTCGGGACTGAGCCCAGACATCCATAAACTATGGGCATCACCAGATACCGAAAGGTTCTGTCTTTCTGGACCTGCTGAATTTGCCACTTCAATCACAAAACTCTCAAAGGCAGAGCCATCCTCAATGGTCCAGGACACATTGAAGCTATCCCAAGATACATCAGACACACTCAGACTGCCAATCTGCGGCCTCTGCTCCTCTGACGGACAAAGAAATCAGACATGAGTTATTGTCACTGAAATTAATTACATTTGCATAATAAAATGAGCTGAACTTGCCAGTGCCACTGGCTTAATGTAATGACAAATACAGAAAAAATAGTTAATAGATGGAATGAAATGATATGGATAAAGACATGAGGCACAGAGAGACGGTGTTCATTCACGTTGAGAAACAATGGTCAGAGTGATCAGATAAAACATTATATTAATTGTTTCATGCTATAATCCCAAGGGGAGGTTTCTCATGAAACAATTCTGCAAGTGTTTCGTGGCACTATAGAGGTACTGAGATCACATCTTGGGTAACAACTAAAATGTTAAGTGAATATGAGTTTGATTGGAGAAAGTGAATTTTGAATAATATTTGATGTTTAATATACAATACAGTTCAATAGTTTGGGGTCGGTAATATTTTAAAAATGTTTTTGAATCTCTTCTGCCCACCAAGACTGCATTTATTTGATCAAAACAACAGTAACGACAAAAATATTGTGAAATATTATTATAATTTAACATAACTGCTTTCTATTTGTATATATTGTAATTTATTGTATTCATTCCTGTGATCAAAGCTGAATTTTCAGCATCATTACTCCAGTCTTCAGTGTCACTTCAGAAATCATTATTATCAATGTTGAAAACAGTTGTGCTGCTGATTATTTTTGTAAATTAAAATGTTTGTGTTTTTTCTATTCTTTGATGAATATAAAATGCAAAATAATTTTTGCATTCAAAAAGAATTTGAAATAAATCTTTTGTAACATTTGAAATATCTTTACTGTCACTTTTGATAAATTCAATGCAGGGTTATTAGTTAACTAAAACTAAAACCATTAAAAAACAATTATTATTTCATTATTTTCTTTTTTTATAATTAAACATTATTAAAAAAAACATTATTTCATTTTTATTATTAAAAAAATACAAACATTAACTGAAATAAAATATATTTATGAAAACATTTAACATTTTTGTTCAGTTTAAGTTGAAGTACTTATTAACTGAGTAAATTAAAATAAACTAAAAACTGAAACTTAACTACTATATATATATATATAGCAATACATAAATAAAAATTACAAAACCCCAAAATTAATACAAAATACACAAATCAAATCTTAATTAAAAATATTAACAAAAACTATAACAGTACGTCAAATAGTACATCAAAGAAACTAACTTTAAAATGTCCTTTCTGAATAAAAGCATAAAAAAATTATATTTATTACTGACCCTAAATTTTTTTAATGGTAGTGTTCAACTAAATACTCAACATGCACAAAATTATGCTCACAGATGCAACAGCAGACAAGCTAGAATTATCAAAAGCTTTCATTATAGTCATGGTAGTCTACATAAACCAAAGCCCACAGCCATTTTTCAAGTAAACTAGGTGTGGTTTCTTGGTGTGGACACAAAAATCTTTTAAACTAACCAAATAAACCAATTTCTGACGTCAAAAGGTCTTGGGTTTGCATTAAACACTGTAGTGTAAAAACACAATTTTCCCACAAACCGTCTTGTGCCTGCAGAATTGCTCCCAAGATGATGGGCTAACTTTTACATTTTAAGAATGACCTTAAATGAATGAACAAATTAATGACATTTGTAGTCTTATGAATATTGGAGTTATGGCAGATGACAGATGACTGTGGTTTCTGAGGCTCATGTCCATGTACCTGTCTTGATGTGAGCATTGACTGGTTGGGATTTCTCGCCCTCCTTCATCCCATACAATGTAATCTCATAAAGCGTGTCAGGGTTCAGCCCAGCCACATGGACCCGCCTGGCTTCTCCAGACAATTCAATAACACTGTCTTTGGACTTATTTGATGTTGAGTTCAACTCAACGATGAAGCTATCGAAGGCTCCTTCAGGAGCCGACCAAGACAGCATCAAACTATTCCTGCTCACATCAGTGACGTTTAAGTCAACCAGAGGCCCTTGATTCGGGCCCTCAAGTTCATCACCTGAGGCTTCAGCTTTAAAGTCCTCTGTTAAAAGAGTGGAGGTAGAGACTGATGGCTGAACCTCCTTATGGAGGCTTGGTAGCGTTGTTGAAACACGTTTGAAGGTCAATGCAACAACATCAGGAGAGGTAGACTTTGCTGCTATAGAGGAAAGTACATTCAGTCGGTTTAAGGTCAGAGATTAAAGACAAGACAGAATTCGAGATGCTTTACCTGTAAAAACAAGAGGTTAAATACTCATTGACTAACTGCACAACTAAAATATGAATATATACATTTTAATCTACTATTAATCTCCTGCTTTTCCTGGGAAGTGGTTCTCTGATTTGCACAATAAATACCTGTAAATTACTTTCTATTGAAATCATTGAAATCAAGTAAATTTTATAATTGTTTCTAAATATTATGATGGTTAATAATATTCTGACTGAAGTGCCATGAGGGGCGAATTGATTGAACACCAATTTCACGTTTGTATTTCATCATGTCTGTCAGGGTTATTACTAAAACTAAAACCATAAAACACACACACACACACACAGCTATATATACAGTGGGTACGGAAAGTATTCAGACCCCCTTAAACTAATAAAAATGACAAACACACACAACAAAATTGCTAACTTTAACGAAAATGGAACATTCAACAATAAAAACTAATTTGAAATAGAAAATAAAAGCTAGGCTAATGGTCTCTCAGGGATATTAAAATAACACTGGCATGTGTCATATTGCACGCCAAAATCCAAAGAGAGAGAAGAAAAAAAAAAACACTAAGCCATTTTCTGGACCACAAATATTTTATGCATTGTGATATGATTTTTAGGCATATACAAAATGCATAACAATAGCACTGTGACGTGAGTATTTAAAGAAACAAGGCTACAGATAATTTCTTAGTGAATTCACCCCTCAGTGTCTCGATGTAAACTGAGGTTTGAGTTACACTGCGTGCAATAAAACTCAATTCACGTGCAAATGATGTTACCAATCTTCTTGCATTATTTCAATCTACACGCATCTGAAAACATCTGACATTAATGACCATGAGCCATTAATTGCTGAAGTTTCCAAGTAGTCCACTAGAGTGGAAGTACATGGGACGCTTCAGGCTGATGGATAATCCATGCAGACCTCAAGATGTTTTGAGGAAAGGACATGCATGAAGTCGATTCTTCGAAGTCACAAACAGTATTCTGTGCTCATCGGCCTTTCAGGCATTTTCACCACACAGATTAGTTTGTTATGAGGGTTAATAATTTTCACCTCTGCAAAAACGTTTGTGGATTTCCTTATCTGAGCCAATGAGCAGCCATATGCACAGGAGGGCTGGGTGATATACTGAATAATCACAATATATTCACAATCATTTCAATTAAGCAAAAATATTAAATATTATAAAAATCAAGCAAAAAATATAAAATATCTCAGTAGCAAAAACGGCATTAGAACTCCATGCCTGAACCAATTTTTGACTAATGGAAGTAATGGAAGTCACTGTATGACATTTTTATGAATTTATGTAAAAAAAATTCAATTCAATTCAATTCAATTCAATAAATTCAATTAAACATTTATAATAAATATTATTTAAACAAACTGTCAATTAAATTAAAATATTGCTGTTTATTACTATGCACTGTTACATCTGGAAAGGTTTAAATGTCTATGTATTTTAACCACACAGTTTAGTTCGTTATGTGCATTAACAATTTTCTCCTGTGCAACTATTGTGGATCTTCTTTTCTGAGCCAATAAGCAGCCATATACAGAGTAGGGATGGATGAATATTGAATATTCACAATATATTTTTCATGATTCTTCTGGTGAATTAAACAAAAATGTATATTAGAAAAATTAAGCACGTATGACATTTTTATGAATTTATGTAAAAAAAATTCAATTCAATTCAATTCAATTGAATAAATTCAATTAAACATTTGAATAAATATTATTTAAACAAACTGTCAATTAAATTAAAATATTGCTGTTTATTACTATGCACTGTTACATCTGGAAAGGTTTAAATGTCTATGTATTTTAACCACACAGTTTAGTTCGTTATGTGCATTAACAATTTTCTCCTGTGCAACTATTGTGGATCTTCTTTTCTGAGCCAATAAGCAGCCATATACAGAGTAGGGATGGATGAATATTGAATATTCACAATATATTTTTCATGATTCTTCTGGTGAATTAAACAAAAATGTATATTAGAAAAATTAAGCAAAAACCATAAAATATCTCTGTAGCAAAAATAGCATTATAATCTAATTAAATCTGATTAAAGTCAAATCTGCATTAAATGTATTTGTCATTTTTATGTATTAAATTATTTGTTTAAAAAATATTGTAATAAATATTATTTCAATATAAATGAATTATAATTGATAAAATTAATAAAAAATAAATGAATATAAAAATATATCTTGCATTAAATGATTGTTAAAAGATTAATTGATAAATTATTGTTAAAAGGACGGTTCCTCTAACTGAAAAAAAAAAAATATATATACATATATATATTTATAATCACCCAGCCCAAATACACATCCATATACTTATGTATCATCATGCATGTTTGTGCTCTACCATATGACATATGGGAGCAGTTGCATTTCTTATGTCATGCAAACTTTGTGTCATTCCACACTTAAACCTATGAAACAAAAATGTTTTCAAATTTTTTAAAGTTGCAATGGCACTAAATCAAACAGATGACGTGAAACCCAAACGAAAGTTTATACCTGTAACTGCAACTGCTTCTAGTAGTGAAGATCTTTGGCTATTGGATATTCCATAAAGCCTTACTTGGTACTCTGTGGAAGCCTTTAGGCCACGGATTTTAGTGTCATTCACCTCCCCATGGAGATGAACCTCCTCCTTCCATTTCCCTGAGAAATCTTTAAGTTCTACAGTGTAACTATCATAGCCAATGTGCTTATTTGACTCCCACGCAAGATCAAATCCATCGGATGTGACATTAGACACGGTCAAGGTGCCAGTGGGGTCCTCGTATCCGCTCCCAGAGAACGGGATCTCTGAGTTGTCCAGAGACACAAAGCTAATGACATTGTCGTCGGTGCCTTTGGTGTTCGCTAGATAAAAAGTGAAAGATGCTACAAGAAAAAGACAAAAACACATGACACTTGGGAACAACAGATGAAACGGCATGATAACACGTGCAAATCCCCTCATTCAAGACCAATTATGATTGAATATCATCTTCTAGACAGATGGTTTGCTTGGTTTATCAGCAAAGATCCTCACACTGTTCCTTTACCAGGTGCAACACAATAAGTTTCCTGAAAGTGAAAATCCACACAATTACAGCTAATCGGAACATATCTGATGTTTAATATACATCATTTTGACCAATGAGATTGCATTGTGGGTGGGGCTTTCCAGAAACTCAGATTTACATAAAAGAGCTTCCATTCTTTGTTGGTTTTATGGTGTTGCAGCTGGTTTGGACACGGTGTCATAAATTAAGACCAGAAACATACTTTACTGAAATACACAAACGCAGACGTGAATACTTGGCCAATGCACTACAAGTATGCAGATCTGCTGAACCTACTAATAGTTCACCCATAAAAGATGTAGATGAGTTTGTTTGTTCATTCGATCTGATTTGGAGAAATGTAGCATTCCATCACTTGCTCACCAGTGCAGTGAATGGGTGCCGTCAGAATGAGAGTCCAAACAGCTGATAAAAACATCACAATAATCCACAAGTAATCCACACCACTCCAGTCGATGAGATAATGTCTTGTGAAGCCAAAAGCTGCGTGTCTGTAAGAAGTTAAGAAGTAACTTTAAACATCACCTCTGGCCAAAATATGAGCCAATACAATCCATAATAATGCTTCCTCCACTGAAAAAGTCCATCCCCTATTGTCCTCTCACATTAAAATCCACCCACATATTTGTTTAGAAATATTTTGGACTGTTTCCGCTTGAAAACGGTGCTTGATCTGTGCATATTTCTCTCCTGATTCAGATGAGATGACTTTTTCATGGGACAAATCAATATTATGGATAGAGGACTATTATGGATATTTTAGTTAGACGCAATGGTTTGAAGTTAAGACATTAACTGATGGACTGGAGTGGTGTGGATTATTGTGATGATTTTATCAGCTGTTTGGACACTCATTCTGACGGCACCCATTCACTGCAGAGGATCCATTGCTGAGCAAGTGATGGAATGCTAAAGCTCATCTACATTTTGGATGGTCTGAAGGGGAGTACATTTTCATTTAACATGCGATGTTGCATTGCACCTGCAATAACAATAAAGTTTCCTTGTGTTTTATAATTTTATCCACCTTATTTTTCAATGCTATAAGCAATTTCCAGTGAATGGACTGTTTTCTGTACAGCTAAAATAGCTGGAAGTGGCTGAAACACTGAAAGCCTTGCACTCTTACATTAAAAATAATATGGATAAACATGCCGACTTGAGACAATTTGCTCACCAATTAGACAAATGACAATTTTTTTTGCATTGTGCAATTCATTCATGCATTGCAGTGCAGTATGAATTGCATTCGGACACATTTTCGAATACAACGCCACACAAATCAAACGCAGCTAGAAGTGTTTGTGTTCACGTTCTTGCATAGGGTATGTTTCAGATTCAAAACTGATGATTTTCAATAAATATTTGGGAAAAAATGCATATAAAAGTTAGTCAATCATTTTCACGACACAATCTTTGTTGTCCACAGCTGAAAACAGAACAATGACATTATCATGTTGCACTAAAGCAAACAAAATCAACTTTACACTAGGAATCGCTCACCTGTGGATGCGGTGACGGTGGCAGGAGCACTTCTCCTCTGTCCGCGTTCTGCCACGAGGGTGACGGTGTAGCGCATGCCAGGGCTCAAGCCGCTCAGGGTGTAGGCGGTTGCGGTAGCAGGCAGCTCGACTTCTTCCCGTCGGCCGTCGGCAGAGACAAACGCTAGCCTGTAGGTGGAGATCTTGGCCCTGGCCCTCTTCCAGACCAGTTCCAGGGTGGTTTCGGTGGAGTCTCGCACTTCCAAGTCTCGTGGAGGATCCAGATCTGTGTGGGTGGAGGTTCAAAATGACAGCACAAAAGACACATTCATGCCAGGAAATGGTGATGGCATCAGAATTCATGAAATCAAAAAGACTGAAGAGATAAAGACTAGTCTGTCATCATCTATTCACTTTCATGTCGTTTCAAACCTGTCTGTCTTTTTTAGGAGGTTTTAGGAGAAGTTTTGTGGTGCTTCATATAATGAATGTGAGTCAGATGTTGTCAAAAAAAAAAAGAGAGAGAAACATCATAAAAGAAGTCGGCTTGGATGATGTTTTTATGGTACTTTTGGTCACTGTGTTCACTACACACAAAAAGAGCAGCGTGAACATGATCCATGGAACAAAGTCATACTGGTTTAGAAAGACATGAGAGTGGGTAAATGAGGACAGAATTCAAATGTCTGGGTAAATTCTTTTAAAATCTCTTTAAATGGTTTAAAAATAGAGTTATATTCATGTTACTGTTCTTAGTATTTTGGTAGGCATCTTCATAAGAAAAAAATAGCATGTGTTTATTAAAAAAAGTATGCACACCACCATTTTGAAAAGATTATTGTTATGGACTGCAAAATAAATAAATACAATTAAATTAAATTTGTTGAACACATATTTTGAAGAATGCTGGTAACCACACAGTTGCCACTAACCATTGACTTCCATAGTTTGGAAAAAACAATACTATGGAAGTCAATGGCTACCGGCAACCATTTGGTTACCAGCATTATTCCAAATATCTTCTTTTGTGTTCAACAGAAGATGGTTTGGAACAACTTGAGGGTGAGTAAATGATGACAGAATTGACATTTTTGGGTGAACTGTCCCTTTAAATAAAGATACATTTCCTTGAGAAGCAAGATCACTTAAGATATTAAGTCTTGTTTTCTGAAAAATTTATCAAAATTGATTTTAAGCTTAAAACATGTTTTCCTTTGAATTTATTTTATTTTTCTTATCCCATTGGCAAATATTTTATAAACTCAATTTTGATCGTTTATTTTTATTTATTTATTTTCAGAAAACAAGACTTAATATCTTAAGTGATCTTGCTTCTCAAGTAAATGTATCTTTATTTAAAGGGACAGTTCACCCAAAAATGTAAATTCTGTCATCATTTACTCATCCTCAAGTTGTTCCAAACCATCTTCTGTTTGGAACAACTTGAAAAAGAAAAAAACAAAAACATCACAAAAGAAGATATTTGGAATAATGCTGTCTCTCTCTCTCTCTCTCTCTCTCTCTCTCTCTCTCTCTCTCTCTATATATATATATATATATATATTTCAGTGTGTTCACCAAGGATGCATTTATTTGTTTAAAAATATAGTCAATAATTGTGCAATATTATTATAATTATATAATTATAATGTATGCATTTAGCAGACACTTTTATCCAAAGCAACTTGCAATGCATTCAGGCTATACATTTTTTACCAGTATGGTATTTTATTACTATTTAAAGTAACTATTTTCTATTTGAATATATTGTAAAATGTAATTTATTTCTGTGATCAAAGCTGAATTTTCAGCATCAATGCTCCAGTCTTCAGTGTCACATGATCCTTCAGAAATCATAATAATATGCTGATTTGCTGCTCAAGAAACATGTCTTTTTATCAATGCTGAAATTCAAATTTCAAAAGAACAACATTTATTTGATATAGAAATCTTTTGTAATATTATAAATGCATTTCCTTGATCAATTGAATGCATCCTTGCTGAATAAAATTCTTTCAATTTCTTTCAAACAAAGCAAAAACCATAGCAATCCCAAACTTTTGCACAGTACTGTCTGCTGATATAAAGAGAGCTGGTCTCACCGGTCAGTGCGTTGGTGGTCGCTGGCTCACTCTCTCTTTCATTGTGAACGGCTGTGACTCCAATGCCATACTCCGTTCCAGGCTTCAGGCCTACGGCACACCAAACCCATTAATCCAGCAGATGAAACACTAAGCTGATGCTTTTTCAAGCAGAGAACGAGGGGAACATTTCTGTATCATGCCATCTCTATGTGAATACTTTCACTTCTTTATCTGTGGCAAACAAAAATCATGTTTACACCAATGGACCTATCATGCATATCTATATGGATTTATGAAGAGTTTAAAAACAGAAATGTGCAACTGGTATTTTTGTTCAAGCACTTATATTAGTTCTTTCTTTAAAACTGTGTTTTTTTTAAACCATGAAGTTGTCCAAATGATCCTTTTATAGGGACAGACAACACTAGTCTCATGTATTTTCAGTCTAAATTAAATCACAACCAACACACAGCTAAAAAATTTTTTCTTAGTATGTTTGTCTTATTTTCCATTACATATATCTAAAAAGTCTTAAGATACAGTTATTTGAGAACGAAAACGACTTAAGATATTAAGTTTCATTTTCTGAAAAAAAGATATTAATAATGATATTGAAAATGAAGTGCTTAAAACAAGAAAACAATCTAAAAATTTTTTTTAAACATATATATATATATATATATATATATATATATACTTTTTTCTTATTTAATATATATATATATATGTATTTTTTAAATTATTTATTTTCAGAAAACAAGACTTAATATCTTAAGTGATCTTGCTTCTCAAGTAAATGTATCTTTATTTAAAGGGACAGTTCACCCAAAAATGTAAATTCTGTCATAATTTACTCATCCTCAAGTTGTTCCAAACCATCTTCTGTTTGGAACAACTTGAAAAAGAAAAAAACAAAAACATCACAAAAGAAGATATTTGGAATAATGCTCTCTCTCTCTCTCTCTCTCTATATATATATATATATATATATTGCAGTGTGTTCACCAAGGATGCATTTATTTGTTTAAAAATATAGTCAATAATTGTGCAATATTATTATAATTATATAATTATAATGTATGCATTTAGCAGACACTTTTATCCAAAGCAACTTGCAATGCATTCAGGCTATACATTTTTTACCAGTATGGTATTTTATTACTATTTAAAGTAACTATTTTCTATTTGAATATATTGTAAAATGTAATTTATTTCTGTGATCAAAGCTGAATTTTCAGCATCAATGCTCCAGTCTTCAGTGTCACATGATCCTTCAGAAATCATAATAATATGCTGATTTGCTGCTCAAGAAACATGTCTTTTTATCAATGCTGAAATTCAAATTTCAAAAGAACAACATTTATTTGATATAGAAATCTTTTGTAATATTATAAATGCATTTCCTTGATCAATTGAATGCATCCTTGCTGAATAAAATTCTTTCAATTTCTTTCAAACAAAGCAAAAACCATAGCAATCCCAAACTTTTGCACAGTACTGTCTGCTGATATAAAGAGAGCTGGTCTCACCGGTCAGTGCGTTGGTGGTCGCTGGCTCACTCTCTCTTTCATTGTGAACGGCTGTGACTCCAATGCCATACTCCGTTCCAGGCTTCAGGCCTACGGCACACCAAACCCATTAATCCAGCAGATGAAACACTAAGCTGATGCTTTTTCAAGCAGAGAACGAGGGGAACATTTCTGTATCATGCCATCTCTATGTGAATACTTTCACTTCTTTATCTGTGGCAAACAAAAATCATGTTTACACCAATGGACCTATCATGCATATCTATATGGATTTATGAAGAGTTTAAAAACAGAAATGTGCAACTGGTATTTTTGTTCAAGCACTTATATTAGTTCTTTCTTTAAAACTGTGTTTTTTTTAAACCATGAAGTTGTCCAAATGATCCTTTTATAGGGACAGACAACACTAGTCTCATGTATTTTCAGTCTAAATTAAATCACAACCAACACACAGCTAAAAAATTTTTTCTTAGTATGTTTGTCTTATTTTCCATTACATATATCTAAAAAGTCTTAAGATACAGTTATTTGAGAACGAAAACGACTTAAGATATTAAGTTTCATTTTCTGAAAAAAAGATATTAATAATGATATTGAAAATTAAGTGCTTAAAACAAGAAAACAATCTAAAATTTTTTTTAAACATATATATATATATATAATATAAAAAATATAAATATATTTTTAAAAAGCATTGAAAAATATATTTTGCCCTATTATATCAGTCCAATAAAAAAATATTGATATTTGTCACATTTGAAGCAAAACTTGTTTATAACACATGTGAACATAAAAATATAATACATATTTTTTTTATTAAATAAAATAAAATAGATTTTTATTAAATAAAAATCAGAAAGGAACATACTTTACAATGTAAAAAAAAAACAATATTACAATATATATAAAAAATCTAACTATTATTTATAGTTATATTTATATATATATATAACATAAAATTAAGATTACATTTCTTGCCCCTGAAATACATTTTGAAATATATTTTGGTATTTGAAGGATGAAACTAAATATATTTTAAATTTAAAAAATATATATTATTGAGCTTCACTGTTTACAACATATATTTAAAATATTTTTGTCCAGAAAAAATTGCTGTATGGGATGGAGTAAGCAATCCCATACAGCGATCTTTCCCCCCCCCTTTGAATTAAGATTATTTTTCTGATCTCACTGACATTTTTTTTTTTCAAGCATAAAGTCACATAATTTTATTTTTTTATTTATTAAAAAACAAGACTTAATGTCTCAAGTCATTTTGCTTCAAGTAAATGTATCTTAATTTAAGAATGTTTAGGAATTTGTACTGGAAAACAAAACAAAAATACTGAGGAAGAAATCTTTTTTTTGCACTGCAGCTAGCAAATACAGTGCAATTCTTAACATTTGTCTCATTACAGGAGCATCGTTTTACCTGTAATCGTGGCCCATGTCGTGTCTCCAGCTCTTCTAGGGAACATGTCTTCACCATGAGCACCTCCTGCGATCGGGCCGTACTTGATACGGTATCCGTCGATGGATGAACGGCTGTTTTTCCATTCCAGTGTGATGCTGCTGTCAGTCTGATCAACAGCTTTTAGGTCAGTGGGGGCATCCAGACCTGGGACACACAGAAAACCATCACACCTCATTAAAACACTGATTTGAGTTCATCTTTGTGAGAAGCACTCTGTAGAGTGTTCGTACCCGTGCTGAAGCTCTCAAAGATGGGCTCGCTGGTCACGTCTCCCCTCTTTGAACTGAGAGACACTCTGTATTCGGTGTCTGGTTCCAGGTCCTCCAGACTGTACTGTGTGTCTGTGGCCGGGAGGTCGACATCTCGATGGACTAACAGGTCTGTGCTCGGCCCGTACGACACCCTGAACCCGTCCACCTGAGCCACGGGTATGGACCAGGAGATCACTGCAGACCGGTCTGTCACATCGTCAACATCAATCTGCCCTGGAGAATCGATTCCTACAGCAAGAGGAGGGATTCGTGATTATACTTATAATTACAGTCAGTTCAAATAATTTTGAATATACTACATATATATATATATGTGTGTGTGTGTGTACGAATAGTCGAATATTCTATTTGCAATAGCTATTCGAAAAATAAAAACACTATTAGAATTTCGCTAAAATGTTGCTTTGCTGGCCGTAAATGCAGGGAATCCCTGATAAATCCTGAGCACGCAAACTTTGTCAAGTGAAACTGATTTATCACTAAAATGAGTAATCATATGAATTACAAACACTGGAATGTAATGACCAGTCGAATGAAGAAAAACAGCAGCACATCACTGCATTCACTACTGCAGGTGATACACTACCATTCACATGTTTTGGGGAAAAAAATAAATAATGCTTTTATTCTGCATGTATGCATTGAACTGATCAAAAGTGACAGTAAAGACATTTATAATGTAGCAAAATATTTCTATACCAAATAAATGCTGCTCTTTTGAACTTTTTTATTCATCAGAGAATCCTGAACAAAAATGCATCATGGTTTCTACAAAAATATTAAGCTGCACTGCACCTATAATAATCCTTAAAAGGCCCTAATATTTAAAATTATTTGGGCGTGTTTTATGCAGATTACTAACCTCACTGCAAAAAATGCTTTTCTTTCTTAGATTTCTTTGTCTTGTTTTCAGCCAAAATATCTAAAAAATTTTAAATCGAGAAGGATTTTCTAGACAAGTAAAAAATTATTGTCTTGTTTTCAGGAAAAACAAGTCAAAATTAAGTGAGTTTTTGCTTAGAACAAGCTAAATAATTTGCCAATGGGGTAAGCAAAATAATCTTATTTCAAACAGAAAACAAGATTATTTTTCTTACCCCATTGGCAGATTATTTTGCTTGTTTCAAGCAAAAACGCTTAACTTTGGCTTGATTTTTCTGAAAACAAGACACAAATTTTTACTTCTTACTTCTAGAAAATCCTTCTTGATTTAAGATTTTTTTTAGATATTTTGACTGGAAACAAGACAAAAAAATCAAAGTAAGAAAATAATTTTTTGCAGTGTAGTCGTTCATTTAGAAAACTCCAAATTCATAAACGCTAGAACAACATTAAGAAGAAACCCATGTGTTGTGAATGTGCAAGTTTAATATTTAGTGTTAAGGGTTTATTCAAATTAATAACTCTCAGTTTGAGCAAAACTCATGATGGTTGACTTGGCAAACACCACTTCTAAACTTGATTAGGTCTTTTAAAGTCGGTCAATGTCTACAAAATTATTTTATGCAGTAAATAAGATTTAATGCACCAAGAGGCACAAATTCGTGATGGATGTTTCCAAATCTAGAAATCTGAGCACTTTTACAGGCAGTAAAATAGGGAAACACACGAACTACTGTCAGAAATCAAGGGCCTTTTGAAACTAAAAATGCCTTATTGGTTGTTATCATGGATCTATGTGTGCAGAGGCTGTAAAATGTCAAGCCAGACACACGAATCGTCCAAATTTCTCACGGTTAAGCACTGAATTGGGGTGTTAAAGCCCTGTTGGTCAGCCCACGCTGGGTATTTCATAAGGTTAAATGATGGCCCCTATTCTTCTTGGCCTTTCTAAACAGCAGGCCTTCACATTCTTTACTGCTGAGCTGGTTTCGCCTTCAACCTCCGACACTTTAGAGCCGTTTAGCAGATGTAGATTAATCCAGCCAATTACCAAACGGACCAAAAGCAACGCCTTTAACATTTACTGCCACATTTAAATGGGATCACGACACAGACAATAAACAAGAGGAAAGGTTTACTTTAGAGAAGGTG